TGTCTTTAATCGGTTGTATACTAGAAATCATAAACTCTAAAGAGGAACTTTTTAGAAGGATTTAATTTCTCTCTCTTTCCCTTGCTCTCTCCATGTACATATACACATGCACATACACACAGGCACACACACATTTGCATAAGTATGTATATATGTATATACTCATATACACGTGTTTTTTAAAGCATTGCAACTTTAGGATACTGTGGAGAGGAAAATTTTAAATACAATTTCAAGAGAAGGAACTATGTAAAATTTCTCAAGGTCAAAGAAGAGCTTGTTCATGTATTTTTTTTTTTATTTTTTTAAAAGTTTATTTATTTTTGAGAGAGAGAGAGAGACAGAGTGCAAGCACAGCAGGGGCAGAGAGAGGGAGACACAGAATCAGAAGCAGGCTCCAGGCTCTGAGCTGTCAGCACAGAGCCCGACACAGGGCTCAAACTCACAAACCACAAGATCATGACCTGAGCCGAAGTCGGACGCTCAACCGACTGAGCCACCTAGGTGCCCCTCACGTATTGTTTAAATAGATGACAGACAGTATCAAGTCACTATTATACTGATATTCCATTGGATTATAATTAAGAGTGATATAACTGTTCTATTTTTAAATATCATACACAAATATGCCAGAAACTAAATTATATCCTTTGCAGCTATTTAATTATAAGGTAAAAACTAGATATACTTAATTTTAGGTCTCTACTAATTCTCTAGGGACACAGAATTTTGCAAATTCTTTTGAGGGGTACTAAAACAAATATGCAGTACAAGAACAATGTCATCTTGAGAACATATGCTAATGGATTCACACATAGTTCAAATAGAATGGAATTTCCATCATAGCTATTTAGTCTATCTTGATGAGTGTAACTGATATGAACACATTCTCTCTGAGCCCTCTAAAAATAATATGCTCATATGCTAGACTTTGTCAGACATTATGTAACATGTAATGCATAATTAAATAATGCCTTTTACTTTCTGTTCACTCTAAGTATATCTACATTAGTTACCATTCATGTTTCCTGGTTTTGTTACTTCATTTTGTTACTCTCATTGTGGAAATACTGTCTAATGCTATTTGGATTCTCAGTATTTCCAAGGAGTATTCCCTCAGTATTTCCAAAGCCTCACATATAATATAGTATTTCCAAAGCCTCACATATAATTTCCTCAGTATTTCCAAAGCCTCACATATATATATAATATATATAATATAAAAACTTCTATTTCTAACACCCAAGCCTTTTGACAGCTTAAAAGTCTTCTAGATTGATTTCTACAAAGACATGCCTTATTAAAGAGTTTTTAACAATTCCAAGTAGACCTAGGGGAAAAAATATTCTCTAGTCACATACTTGTTTACAATTATATATATGTTCTTACATGAAATCCATTTCCCCTGAGTGGAAAATTATAAAAACATTCAAGTGTATTTAGATTAATCAAATAGCCACATGATTCTCATGTAAATATTATTTGATGGTAAATTATACCCTGTGCACTAGAAGATGATTATCCAATTTGTTATAACATTTAATTACTGATTTACTTATTAGGAGACTTTATTTTAAAGAAACAATTACACAGTAAGCTCTTCTTTCAATGCTTTTCTTGATAATTCTTACAGAAACATTATTGAAAATTGCTACAAACTTTGTTCACTTAACCTATATTATTTCTTACCGAAATTCACCATTTAAGTTAAATGCAAAATAGGGGCACCTGGTGGCTCAGCCAGTTAAGTGTACAACTCTTGATTTTGGCTCAGGTTATGATTCACAGTTGTGAGATCCAGCCCCGCATAGGGCTCTGCACTGACAATGCAGAGCCTGCTTTGGAGTCTTTCTCTCTCCCTCTTTCTCTACCCTCTTTGACTCTCTCTTTCTCTCAAAATAAATAAACTTTAAGTTAAATGTAAAATGGACTAACCGGTAAGTTAAAAGCAATAAAAAATGTAGAAAGAAATTAAAGTGAAAATGTATTCATGGATATGCTTATGAACTTTTCCTCTCATTGATTAGACACACAATTCAAGGATCAATTTGATCTTTCCCTTCCTATTTCCAAAGATAACACTAAGTTTCCTGGATTATTCTGATAAAAAATAAAAGTTAGCCAAGTAAACAGTCTCAAACAGCAATATACAGCAAAACCTTGGATTGCAAGTAACTTGTTCTGCGAGTGTTCCACGAGATGAACAACATTTCTAATAAATTTTAACTTGAGAAACGAGCGATGTCCTGCAACACGAGTAGTACGTGATGCTAAATGTCACATGATCATGACTGAGTCAGTGGTTCTCTTTCACTGGAGGATTGTGGGTGATCATCTCCCATGCTCCCATGCTTGGTCTCAGGATGCGGTGTTTGGCAGAAATCAGTGATTTTTTAGAACATTGGAAGGTGCCCATAACGGGACTAGTGTATTTTTTGTCACTTCAAAGTACCTATGGACAGTCCTTTACTTTTCCATACAAGAGTAAGCTTAGGAATGCTTTGCTTCATTCAAGGTCATTGGATAGGTTCCAACTTGGTAAAGTTGCACAAAAAGAAGAAGATTCCATCGAGCCAATAGGTAGCAGTTAGTGACAGTGAAAGTAGTCCTACACAATAATCCTCCTCTTGTCTCCCTCACACCAGCCACAAAGGTTTCCAAAGGTAAGTGTAGGTTAGTTTATTTTTCTTTATATTTTGTAGTTTCTTTATTAATTTGTATTATACTACAGTACTATAATCATTTTTATATTAATATTTTTGGGTTGTGGAACGAATCATCTGAGTTTCCATTATTTCTTATGGGGACATTCTCTCTGACATACAAGTGCTTTGGATTATAAGCATGTTTCCTGAAGGAATTATGCTCACAAACCAAGGTTTTGCTGTACTTTAATGGCTGATTTTGGATAAATTCACTGTGAATGCAATGTAAGAAAAATAATATATTTTTTTCAAATAAAGGAAGGAGTGTTAGAAAAGTAGTTAGCAAAGGAAATAAATCGTTGACAGAGTTCACCGAGGCATCTAACATAAATTCTTCCTATCTTACTTCTATCCTTCATAATTTGAAAGCTGAAAATCTGTGTCATATGCCTATTTTAATACTGAAAATCTAGATCCCAAATAATGGACCCATTTACCATAAGACAATTGGAATTACAACTAGGTCCAAAACTGAGCAGGAAATTGAAGTTGTTTCTGGGTAACCAAAAACAACTTTGAATTAAAAATTTAGAAAAAACATTTGAATTTTTATTAAATTAGAAATACTTTTAAAAATAAAAATGTATTGGGGCACCTGGGTGGCTCAGTCAGTTGGACGTCTGACTCTTGGTTTCGGCTCAGGTCATGATCTCACAATTTCGTGGGTTTAAGCCCCTCATCAGGCTCTAAGCTGGCAGTGTGGAGCCTGCTTGGGATTCGCTGTCTCCCTCTCTCTGCCCCTCCCCCACTTGCACTATCTCTGTCTCTCTCAAAATAAATAAATAAATGTAAAAAAAATTTTTTTAAAGAAAAATGTATTCTGCATAGAATAAGCAGTTAAATTTATCAATATTTAAGATATGCATAGATGTATAATTAAAGATTTTTTAAAAATCCAAACCAATATTAGTAATCTATTATGAGTTCATCAATTCATTTCAATTTCAATATTCATTTCAATTTTATATCCTCTATACTGTAACATGCTACATATATTTGTAGCTGCCAAATCAATACTCACGGTGCTTTCAGTCATTTGCAGACATGCACAAAGCCTCAAAAAATGTGCATTGCCCAGCTGAGGCATCAGAAGAAGATAATCTGCTTGTTTATTTCAGCTCTCAAACTGAAACAAGTGTCCTTTTCCCAGTCTATTTAGTGCCATGTTTATTGCACTATTACTCATGCTTCAGTGAAACCTATCCAACACCTGTATTTTCTCCACAAGGCACATCACAATCATAGCCTTCTTCCACTTAGTAATGCTAGGTAGCACTAGATAGCACTGTGCTCAGGGGGCATTTTAAACAGTGAAATGATTAACAAAAAAAGCATAAAAATGCAAAATAAATTTTAAAAAAAGTACTAACAGACCACAAAATTCTTAATTGTTTCCAAGATTGAGAGCTAAAATGAGAAGGCAGAGCACTGCCTTGTTCAACCTTAACTCTAGAAGCAATGGCTCAGCATTAGCTAATGCAGTGTTATACTGTGATTTTAGAGAGTGGAACTACTGTGAATAAGGAGAACTAAGTACAATTTCATAACCCCAGAGTCTCTTAAAAGACTAGAGTATTGAAACCTAAATCATAGAGAAAAGGTTAACACCTCTGCCTGACACAAGCAGTATTATGAATATTAGATTATTTGCTATTATATAAAAGCTACATTTTTTTTTAAGTAAGCTCTAAGCCCAGGGCACCTGGGTGGCTCAGTTGGTTGAGTGTCCAACTCTTGATTTCAGCTCAAGATCATGATCCCCCGGTCATGGGATTGAGTCCCATGTCAGGCTCTGCACTGAGTGTAGAGCCTATGTAAGTCTCCTTCTCCTTCTCTCTCTCTCTCTCTCTCTCTCTCTCTCTCTCTCTCTCTCTCTCTGCCTCTGCCTCTCTGCCCCTCTCCCCTGCTCAAACACCCTCTCTCTAAAATAAAATAAAAAATAAAATATAAAATATGTATTTCTAAAAAATAAAACAATTAAGTTCTAGGCCCAACGTGAGGCTTGAACTCAGGACCTTAAGATCAGGAGTTGCATGCTCTATGGACTGAGCCTGCCAGGCACTCCAAAAGCTACATTTCTTATATAACAGTGTATATGGCTTATAGGAGAATAGAAAAATTTAAATAGACTCTAATTAGTATGTCTTCACAATTCTGAATCAAGTCAGCATGCTGCCAGTATTTTCAATTGATTCATAGAAATTAACTTTAGGTAAGAAATAACTCATTAGAACAAACCTGAATAGTTAGAAATGTTCATCAAGTAACCATTCCAAATAATTAGGTTTTTCTTACTTGTAGCCAAGCTGGCGACAAATCACAGTTGCGTCCTTATCAGTCCACCCATCATCACAAATTGTTCCCCACTGGCCATTGATGAAAACCTCCACTCGTCCTTCTTTCTTATTTTCTCCATCCATCAGTCTGATAGGAAAACCTAAGTCATGATTCAAAAGTATTAGAAAAGCCAAAACAGCAAACTGATGTCAAAGTATGAAAGACTTTGTAAAACACAAATCATTTTTTTAAATTAACTATAAAATTAGCTGGGTAATACGAAAGAGTGAATGAGAGAGAAGTGTTAATAAAAAACCATATCCACTTTTGCAATATCTTTTGAAGTCTTTGGGTCAGAGTACTCACTTGCTCAACTATGAATTCCCAAGCACTTGGAACAGTACCTCATATATAGAGGACATGCCACAGCTGTTTGTTGTATGAATGAATAAATGAATGAATGGATAATTAGCACTGTAATTTGTGAATGGTTTTATTACCACTAACTTCTTTTTTTTTAATTGAGGTTCAATTTATAGTGTAGTATTGGTTTAAGGAGTAGAATTTAGTGATTCATCATTTACACATTAACACCCAGTGCTCATCCCAACAAGTGCCCTCCTTAATGCCATCACCCATTTAGCCCATTCCCCTGCGCACCTACCCTCCAGCAACCCTTAGTTTTCTATCGTTAAGAGTCTCTTATTATTTCCACTACCTTCTAAATAGTAAAAGATATTTCCTTGGAGTTGTTTTTATTTCATGTCTGGTCATTTATCCTTGAACACAGCTAAAAATTTATACTCCAAAGCTGAGATTTTTAAGACGGCATAAACATATATACCCTTGGCATGCATGGGTAACTTGAATGCGTGGAGAGAAAAAAAACGAAGGCAGCTAACAAGGACAATTTCCATCTCAGGCTTCTCATTTACTATTGCTTTCAAAAGAAGGGCTTAAATCATACAAATTACTAAGATAACTAAAGTTGAATGTAAATGTTATGTACAGCATGGTAAGTATAGTTAATAATACTGTATTTCATATTTGAAAGTAGCTGAGATTAGATCTTAAAAGTTCTCAACACAAGAAAAATAATTTTTTGTAACAATGTAAGGTGATGGGTGTTAATTAGACTTGTGTTGATCATTTTACAATGTATACAAGTACTGAACCATTATGCTGTATGCCTGACACTAATATAGTATGTCCATTATGCCTCAAGACTTTAAAAAATGCTGAAGCTAGAAAATAAAAATAATAAAAATTTAAAATAAATAGAAGTCATTCCTTTTTTTTTAAAGTTGAGAAACTGATCTCTAGCAAACTGAGGTTTATCTAAGTTATGTAAATGATTTATAGAATTTCATGTATCTCTATTGACACCATTAAAGATGGTGCTATTTACCAAGAAGCATAAAATACCTAGGGATAAATCTAACCAAAGATGTAAAAGATCAGTATGCTGAAAACTATAGAAAGTTTATGAAGGAAATTGAAGAAGATATTAAGAAATGGAAAAACATTCCGTGCTCATGGATTGGAAGAATAAATATTGTCAAAATGTCAATACTACCCAAAGCTATCTACATATTCAATGCAATCCTAATAAAAATTGCACCAGCATTCTTCTTGAAACTAGAACAAGCAATCCTAAAATTCATATGGAACCACAAAAAGCCCCGAATAGCCAAAGTAATTTTGAAGAAGACCAAAGCAGGAAGCATCACAATCCCAGACTTTAGCCTCTACTACAAAGCTGTAATCATCAAGACAGCATGGTATTGGCATAGAAGCAGGCACATAGATCAATGGAATAGAATAGAAACCCCAGAACTAGACCCACAAACGTATGGCCAACTAATCTTTGACAAA